AGGCAATTTGTTATCCAGTGAGTGATCCATCCATCAGATCAATTTTTTTTTTCCAGTTTAGTGAGCAGGATTCGTGCAGAACAATGTTAAATGCTTTGCACAAGACTAGGCAGATGATGCCAGTTGCTCTTCCTTTATCCGCTGATGTTGTAACTTCAGTAGAAAAGGCCACCAAGTTTGTCAGACATTGCTTGCCATTGGTGAAGCCATGTTGGGCCATGGTAGGGCCTTCAGGAGGATCTACTCCGTGATCTTGCCAGGCACAGAGGTGAGACTCTGCCTGACAATAAATAAATACGGATTCTGTGTTTAATATTTTACCCTCGTAAAAATGTAGAAGATAACCATTTATTAAGCAACTGCCAGCAGTTCCTCTGGAGCTGATCACATCGAAGAGTCATTTTTATTTTTTTTCTCAAAAAAAAAGAGAGCAAGCATCACTGTGCAGAAATTTATACACAGATTTTGGTGCCTCATGCATACATTATGAATCAACAATGTAATGTCAACGGAGATGTTGAGGGAGAGCTGACATAACGGATGGGAAAACAGTAGTAAAAACGGCACATATAAGATGATAAACAATTTTTCCACTCTGCTCAGCACTAGTGAGGCTTCTGCTGTGTTTCTTGCATTGTCTTGGTTGATTGAATTTGCATCTGGCATTGGAGTCCAGAGAACAACTAAAATGATATTTTGAGCATATGCCTTTAAAGGCAAAGAATTTTTAGTTTAGGAGAGAGTAAAAGTGAGTTGAGACTTTAAAGACACCTATGAGTGCTTTGATGAAAGGAATACATCGTTTCCCAGTCCACAGAGAATATGCTTAAATGCAGGAAGAAGAATGTCAGGCTTCACACCAGGGAAAATTTCTGATGACAGTTCTGACATGAATCATTTTCCATGTCCAGTGTGTATATCTGAACATTGACTGGGAAGGCTGTAAAGTCTCCTTTATGACAGGGTTTCAGGAACATGTTACGTGTTAGGCATTCAGTGTTCAGGAATGCCACAGGTACAGATGATGTATCAGAGAAACTGGATGTCTCTCCTGAGGACCATTTCTGTTCTGTGATTTCAAAATAGATACTCTGATATCTTAAGAAACAAATTTGAGAAAGCAATTTGGAAGAGAGGAAAGATGCTTTTTAAGAGAACAAGGGAAGAGTCATGCAGCACAAGTAGGAGTAAGTGAATGTTACTCTGAAGAGGAACAGAAGCTGTTAGGCGCTTTGTACACAGATCTAGCATTAAAATAATAGGAGAGATGGTCCAAATTTACATCCATCAAAAATAAAGGGAGCATGCTTTTTAACTTCGTAGGGTCATAAGCACAAACTTGCACAGGACATGAGGGGAAGAGAACATGTAATTTCCAAGCTTACTACTTGGTGAGATCTACAAACCAATATGTCATTACTATTATGTAGTCCCCTAAAATCTACCTGGTATTCAGATGGAAATCCACTGTGAATTTTAAGTTTGCTTACACTACAAAATCAGACATGTTGTTTGTAAAGGCTAAAGGCAGTTCTTTCTTCTTAACTAAAAGAAGCATAAAAATACCAAAGCCAAACCCTGTGGCCTTCAGTTAGGTAAAACTCATCCTGGGATTTGTGAGACTAACTCTTTGATTTTTAACTATGGACATTGCTGTACATCATTGTGGCTTTTCTTTGTCTCTAACAAAAAGAGAAAGTCTTGCTCATTACCGCATAGCACTTTAAGAACTTTGGTTGATAAGATTAATCTCTATTGTGAGATTGTTATTTAAAAATATCTCCTTTTCAGAGAGATCAGTGCTTGCCCAGCCAACATTTGTGTTTGGAAAGAAGGACCACCCTTTGAAGGTAAAAACTTTAACTTCTGTTTTTCATCATTGATAAAAGAATACTGGAAATGAAGATTGTATAGACAATTCTAGTAGTAATAAAAGATTTTAGCCCAGGATAAGGCTTGCAGTAACTGAGAGTTAAATAGAACAAGGAAAAGAGAAAAGTAGAAATGAGACTGCTTTTAATACACACATGTTGGACTGATATACTTTGTGACCTGCTCTAGAAAATGGTTGTTCTATTCTCCTTGACCTTTCCACACATATTTTTTTTTTCCAGCGGCCTGCTGAAGATCCAGTTTGCAAAGCTGAAAATGGTAATAACCACCTCATTGAAACAATATAATACACTGATATATTCATAGGATCTGACTGGAAAGATAGTTTGGAACTGGAAAGTATGTATGGAACTTTATTTTGTATGAACTGGGACAAATGCCTGTTAGTAGACTAAGATTACGTGGGATGTTGAGCCACCTTCTATATCCAAATATGTATGTCCCTGTCTTAACTCAAGAATTCCTCTTGGTATCACCTCTCATGTTCATCAGAAAGTCAGACTGCAAGAAGCCCTGAAGAGAGTCAAAGTATATTCATCAGCTATATTTGCTCTTAACTGCCCTTTTCTATTTGTTGAAGCTATAGTATAAAGCAGCTTATCATTTTTAGTGCCTCCTAAGCCTATGGGCCATGATCTGATTGCAATGACTTAATTTTTGGCCCCCCGAAATTAGCAGAAAACTCTCTAGGGCTTCCTGCCAGGTGCTGACAGAGATGCTAAGAGCCTATTTTGCTTTTATATACTTATATACTTTTATATTTGTTATATATAACAGTCTTAAGACTATTCTGTAAATCATTCTTAGAATTTATTTTGTTCAGGTCTTGATTCTTTATCATAACACTGTGCTGAAATCACCTGCCAATCAGTCCCTGCAGGAAATTATATTTGCTTTTCTCCAGATTCCATCTGTTCTTCCAAAAAACGTGCAAGATCATCGTCTTTTGTTTTCCAGAAGTCCGGCTCAGAGTCTAACACAGGTATGCCATTTGAGTCCTGTCATGTTGTAATAACTGTAGTTTTGTACTCTAGTAAACTAAAGAAGTGAAGGAGTTTTTCTGTCCAAGAATTGTTTCTGCATGGTAGAACTGAAACTTAAATATTTATGTTAACTTCCATGGTAATTTTTAATAAGTGCCTCTCAAAGTGAAAATATGGTTGTTTTTTTTTTCTGTGTTAACATAATATTACATAAATACTTAAAAAAAGTATATATTTCCTAAGTTTCCTTGATGAGCTCAAGCAGTCTTGAAAAAGAGGTAGAAAAAGAGGGCTAGACAGGAATGAGATGCCCTGATTGTGGAAGAGATTGTTGTTTCTTGGGCAGTTCCTGAAAATGTGAAGTAATTTTCAGAAGGACTTCTCTTTTCATCTAACTGACAGGTGACCTCAAAGTTCCTTTGAGGTCTGTGTTTTTCTTCTGTGACATCCAGAAGAAGTGCACATAAGTTACTGAATGCTGTTAAGCAGTAGGACTGGTCACTTTTTTATAGTATTTGTTTAACATAGGAGTGGGACCAGGAAGTTGCTTCAGTATTTATGCATTACCATGTGTGAATTATATTTTCATTTAGTTCTATGGCAAAGCTGAACATAGCTAAAAGGATTTAAGATAACCTAGGTTGGGTTCACATTAAAAATTACACTGAGATCATGTACAAAAAATAGGGCAGAAATTTTAAAGTGTGTTTGCATCAAAATATGAAGTAGGATGCAAAAGCAGGCTTAGTTCTCTTGGTTGTCCAAATATTAACTGATATCTTAACTCCCTCCTTCTGTTTTGAACCTCAACAACTGATGATCTCTGAGACAAAACCACTGTACAGTAGGCTAGATGTAAGCAGTTTATCTGAGCCAGGCTGTGCTACTTGGCCTCAGAGATGTCTTCAGTTCAGTGGTATAGACATAACGTACCAGTATACTTCAGAAAGTGGTAGATAGCAGAAAATAATTTATTCTGCCGTCAATTAAGAAGTGACATCAAACTGTCTGACTTTAAAATTAATCTTGTTTTATTCCAAATAATAATTTCAGTTTATTACTCTTTCAGATACAACACTGGCTGAGAAAAGAGGGAGATCATCTTCCTTTACCATTCTTCCTAGGTTCCCTCCCTCCCAGCCAGGTAAGTAAGAAAAAAAAATGACAGCAATATATATTTACACAGCAAAACATATATTACCTAAAATTAAGAGGTGTACAAGAACTGCCTTCCTACAGAACAAGGACAGAGCTGGATATGATTGGACTAGGCTGTTATTTGGAGAAAAGAATGAAATTTGTTAGGAGAGTTGGCGGCTCAATAGAAGAAATGTTTTTTGCGTTTGGTTTTAGGGAATCCCGCAATGCTGGGAGGAATCTTTGAATGAGTTGTCAATAGACATTTTATTGTATTGGTACAAATAGTAATTGAAAAACCAAAATGGAGTTAATGTAATTAAATTGTTTAGTTTGCTTGCAATTTAATGGTTGTTGTTCCTGTACAAACATCATTTTTTTTTTGTCCCAGGAGCCTGTCTTTGATCTGACTAGTGACATTATGAGCCTTCTCTCACTCCTTTATACTGGAGAAGACAGAGTGGACTGAAATCCTAGTCTGTCCTGTCAGGAGCAGGTCTTTGACTTTGGCATGAGGGAATTCTAAACAGTCTTAGAAGGACAATATTACAGAAACAAATGACATTCTTCCTGCAATTAAAAAGCAGTGATCATGTGTAGAGTATCTATCACTTGTGTACTTTTACAGAATATGATGGATGGTTGCTATTACTGACATGTTTCTGGTTGTTATTTTTTATCTTTGAAAAAATGGTGAAAATATCAGTAATGCAATGCTGTTACTGTAGTAAGTTACAAAATCCTTTTTATAAGAACAAGGGCAGGGTACATTAATCTCTTCCCATGTTCTCAGATCTCATTTACTCATCTTAGAAAATGGTTAGATGGAACCAGATAGTGTTGCCATTTCAATGGCTTTGCTTACTAGCAGCACCTGGTTTTCAAAGCTGAACATTTTCAGAGATTAGTGCATCTGTTAATGTTCAAAAGACTTTAGTCTCTGGCAGAACCAGAAAACCCATGGTACTTGCTGTGCATAAGTCAGTAACAGTTGTTCAGATGGATAAATCAGGATATTGCTTAGACACTATCAAAATGGGGAGAACTTACAGAAACGTAGATTAATCACATAAAGTTTCTCATTATTTGTTAATCAAGTTTAAATTCCTTATTTGTAGCAAAGAAGAGCAACATATTCATGACCTCAGCTCTTTTTCGACAAAACATTGACATGGAAAGTACAAAAGAAGGTAATTGTCATTGCAGTATTCATTCACTATTCATTCATTCATTCATTCAGTAGCTCCAAAAATACACTGTTAACAGATTCAGAAAAGATAAAATTGACAGCTGTACTGTAAGCTGAGTGAGATGCTAATTGCCTTTATAAGGCTAATGATTTATTTATTTGATGATGTAGATATTCCCTGAGCTCTGGTCTGAGGTTCTGCTTTGACTATTTAATTTCTCAATGAATGTAATCTTGAATAGTGAAATTCCACATTTCTAATACATGACTGAATAGGGATAAAACTCTACTCTTTGAGAAGGCAGTGAAGTGCCTTCTTGCTGTCTCCATTGGCAGGTGCATGATTAAATATGAAATGCTGGAAGTCAGTATTGATTTGTTTGGACCTAAATGTGTAATATATGTATATGTATAATATATTTAGGTCCAAACACACATTTAGGTTTTAAATATCTTCAATTTAAATAAATATATATATATATAGTGCATTACCCTTCTATCCTGACAGGGTAGCAGTGCAGTGACACCTGCAGAGTTGTGTGTTTTAGAGGAATTAAGATTTTTAAGAATATGTACTAAGGAAACAGTAACAATAGAAGTAATTTAAATAATTAAACTTTGAAATATTAAATATACATTAAATAAACTTTGAAACTTTCTGTTAATGAAACAAAACACGTAGGTATTAACTAAACATGGAGAAAATGTCTCTGTTTAAATATTTTGTCTTTGTGTTTTGCAAGGATCCTTGTCAGAAAGTCAGCTGCGGAATGTTATTAGACCTGCCATTTTACAACCCCCACAAGCCCTGACCTGTCCTGAAAATCCTGCAGCATCTCCAGTGACTAAGAAACCAGCACGTATTCAGGTATAAAGAAAAGTAATTTTACTGAGAAAAATATGTTTGGAGCTCAGTCAAATGGAAAACAAAACAAAACAAAAGCATGGAGCTGTTCTAAAGTAGTTCAGTATTCCACTGCATGATTTTCAAGGAAGTTCCTCTATCAGTTTTAGGGGAATCAGTGGAAACTGCTAAACCAGTGCCATTTTAAAAAAAACATGTCTTCTTTGCAGTCTAACGCAGCTTTCAGATACTGGAGTTCTGTGGGCACATGGAGTTTGGGGATTTTCTGGGTTTTTTGGTGTATTGATTAAGTGTGCTGGCTGAGTGTACAGCAGGAGGAAGGCTTTACCAATTTCCACACAGATCAATCTCAGTGACTCTGGATTTCTTGCAAACATGTTTATAACAGAAAATAAGCTTGGATTGATTAATTCATCCAGTTTTATTATTTTATTTCTAGTTATCTGAAGACAACTCTTACTCCTCATCTGAGAATTCAGCAGGTTCCAAAGCAGCAGTGAAGTCGTCTGTTACTGTGCATATTTCTAGCTCTAAAACAGCACGGTAAGTTTGATTATTATATTTGTACACCATTTGGTTACTTAGTGTATGGCCTGCCCTTTTGTCCTGCGTGTCTAAACCTATGCTGTCCAAATCCACACTGTACTCACTGGTATTTGTGTGTGGTGCCAGGATTTGTGGGTGCTGACATGAGTTCCATATGCCATACGGAATGGAATCCTGCCAGGAAACAGTTCATTTCTCATTAGCAACTCCCAGGCCAGAAACTATTTTGGTTCACTGTCTCATGCAGCTTTGTCAGTTCAAAACATATCTTGGTTTTGAATGTTTACAGTCATGTTTGTGTTTTTTGGAGAACTCTGTTGTGATGACATAACTGCCCCATTTCATAAACTGATTATTTGCCAATATATGTAAGTATATCAGACACAGAACTCATGAAGAAAAGCATGCAGTACCATCATTGAATAAAGCAGCTGGTATGCTACATCTATACACACACAAGAATTTGTGGCCTGAGTGACTAGCTGTGATGACTGCAGAGGAGTAGCATCTTTGTGCAGACATGGGTTGTCCAGGATGAACTTCTGAATTTCTGCATGGAGAAGCTGACTTCCTTCGACTGAGACCATCACCTCCCTGGATAACAGAGAAATTATATCAGTGTGAAAATGGGCCTTTGATTTACTCACCTCTCTCTGAAGTCTGGCTCATGAAAATACTAATGGCCTTTCTGTGGTTAACTAGTTCAGTGCAGACAGGTTATTTTGTATTAATAATGCTTGCTAATAGTGCATGACAGTTTTTTACTTGGAAGTTGTGAGTATCAGGAATATACCTGAAATGAGTTACTGATGAGAGAAGAACATTTCAAATTTGTTAGAGTTAGGGTAGTATGGTTAGGTTGTGGTTGGACTTGATGATCTTTAAGGTCTTTTCCAATCTTGCTGGCTGAGAGTACAGAGGAGGAAGGCTTTACCAATTTCCACATATATCAACCTCAGTGACTCTGGTTTTCTTGCAAACATGTTTATAACAGAAAATAAGCTTGGATTGATTAATTGATCCAGTTTTATTATTTTATTTCTAGTTATCTGAAGACAACTCTATATGAAGCAATTCTATGATTCTATGATTTAATTACTAAGGCCACAGCCAGTATATTTTTGATGTTGCATCCTTTCTCCCTTCCACACGAATTTGGGATGCCAGACTTCAGAGAAGACAAGGGATTTTATATGCACAGAAACTTAGATTCTTAATCTTTATTGATAAGAAAAGCATTATTAAAGCAGAGATGCACAATGGTGATTTTAGAAGAGTCAACCTCCCCTTTTGAATCACAGTTAATGCTGTGATGAAACCCTGTGAGGACAAGATGGAGCCACACAACATACTGGATTTTTAGGAGATTCAGAATGATGGTAATGCACATATTAGAAAAGCTAAAGGAAGATACTACCAGTTTCAGATCAACTGATACTAATATTCCAAATCCACTTACCCTCTGACACCTGCACAGTATATAGGAAAGGACAGCTGAGTGGTTATCTCTTCTGAAATAGATGAATAAAGAAATGCTTTGCTGTGTTTCAGTACTGACCAGTTGCAGGACTTGAAAGTTGTTACAGTGCTAATTTTCCTTTCATTTTTAAAAGGAATTTCTCATCTGCTTGGTGCCTGATTAGTTTAGTGTATCAGCAATGTGGTAAAATGTTAAATTAATTGCCAAACTGAATATTCATTTAAAAATGGCCAGGTGCTTTCTGTTCTTCCAGCATTACGGGGGGGGGGGGGG